GGTGCTTATCTGGCAGGTCAGGCCCTTAGGAAGGGTCCCAGGGCTTTGTTCCCAACATTCCCCCTCTTTGGTTTTTGAGACAGGGTCTCTGTGTAGCCTTGGCTCTCCTGGAACTCAGTCTGTAGACCAGGCTGGCTTCTAACTCAGAGATCCACCTGTCTCTGCCTCCCAAGAGCTGGGATTAAAGGCCTGCACCACCATGTCTGGCTCATAGAGACTTTCAAAAATAAGGTTGGAGATGAAGTTATGGGAATCTGTCAGGCTTTGAGGAGTGTGGGAAGTGGAGATGGCATCTTTCTTTGGCGTGTCAAAGGGATTGTGGTAGAGGCCCTGGAAACAATGGCTTTTGATGGAAACAGCCTGGACAGTTTCATAGTAGTCACAGAGTTCTTCTCGCTTTCTAGGTCTTCTTGGTCCTAAGGGTGAGACAGGAGATGTTGGAATGACTGGAGCTGAAGGGCCCCGAGGCTTTCCTGGAATTCCTGGCAGGAAAGGAGAGCCCGGAGAAGGTGCTTATGTGTATCGTTCTGCGTTTAGCGTGGGGCTGGAGACCCGAGTCACTGTCCCCAGTGTCCCCATTCGCTTCACTAAGATCTTCTACAACCAACAGAATCATTATGATGCCAGCACCGGCAAATTCTACTGCAACATTGCTGGCCTTTACTATTTCTCCTACCATATCACAGTGTACATGAAGGATGTGAAGGTGAGCCTCTTCAAGAAGGACAAGGCTGTTCTCTTCACCTACGACCAGTATCAGGAGAAGAACGTGGACCAGGCCTCTGGCTCTGTGCTCCTCCATCTGGAGGTGGGCGACCAAGTCTGGCTCCAGGTGTATGGGGATGGGGACCACAATGGACTCTACGCAGATAACGTCAACGACTCTACCTTCACAGGCTTCCTTCTCTACCATGATACCAACTGATGGCCACTAGCTCTGAGCTTCTAGCAGACTAAGCACCTGAGAATCAAAGAATAGTCAATAAGCTTTTAGCGTAGTTTGATAGACTGATTTCATTGGTGAGTTTGAGGGTTCTGAATATTACCCACACGTGTCCTCATTCATTCATGAAATAGCCTTTATATATATATAAAAAAATAGTTTCTGTGTTCCTAGTGTAGAAAAAAAAGCATTTCCTGGTCTCCACTAGTCTTATATAACAGCAATAGCAGAATGAAAAATAACCTTCAGTCCGGGAGCCTCGGAACACTCTCATGGCTATAGGAAGTAGACGATGCTATTTTGTGCTCACTGTCTCTCTTGATCTTCACCCAAATCCTGTAGGCACATATGAAATGCAGCATCTATTCATTTTACAGTTGAGGTCTTCAGGCTGAGTTTGTGATTGTCTGAAGTCTCACATGTTTTAAGGAGGCAGAGCTGAGAGTGAAGCCAGAGTATGGTCTGTTCCCATCGGATGGCACCAGTTTTCAAAAGCACATGCTTGTTTGGGGTGTCGGCGGAGGTCTGTTAGCCCACCTCGTTTAAGATTCTCAATTTACATCCATCCAGAGTTTGCCCCAGCCGAGCTCTCTCGGAGAAGGTGGTCCTATGTCTAGGCCCTATTCCATCTGGACTGATACTCACTGGCTCCTTCCCCACTTTGACATCCTCCTCTCTGTGACTCTGCTCACGCTCTTACTCCCAGCTAGGGAAATTCCATCCACTTCTACAAGTACGTTGTTCCCTGTCCCTCAAGGCCACCTGGATGGGAGATTTTCTGACGTGGCCTCATCCCAACTCCCTGTGTTTTTCCACAAATAAAAGTCTCTGTGTGAGACATGTTTTTAGCCTAGGAACAGTTGCTGAACTTCCTTCCCCCCTGACTCCTCAGGAACGCCTTGACAAGTGCTTCAACACCAGCAATCTCCTGAATCTCATCGTTATTCGTAGTTCACCTCACTTTCTACAATACTCAGTCTTATCTAAAGAACCATCCCATTGAGGAACCCTGTGGTCTTAAGCACCTAATTCCTGTTCGAAGGGATGGCTTCACCTTTCCCACTGAGGTGAAGGATGACAGTGTTTTCCATAACACCAGCAGAATTCTCCCTCAAAAAAAGTAATTTCGCCTTGGGACAAAAAGTGTAGAGGAATGGACCTCATTCTTCCCGTGAGCACCAACAAAGTGGAGGAAGAGTTGAGGGTCCTGAATTGATTCTTGTTTTCCAAGAATTACAGATAGAAGCGCTGGGAGATGGCTTTGTGTTTAAGAGCTCTAGGTGTTCTTAGAGAGGACCCCGGGCTCTGTTGCCAGCACTCACACTTGACAGCTCGCAACTACCTGTAACTTCAGTTGCAGGGCAACTCCTGGCTTCTGCAGGCATTGCATGAACACGGTGCTGGTAGATATATCCAGGCACACACACAAACACATAAAATAAACAACAACAACAAAATCTTAAGCTACAGATCGTTCTTTATAAGAGGCAAAGCCCTTTGCTAACTCTATCATAGGAGCTGGTTAAATATACTTAGCCCAAGACCTTGATTAATGAGGGCCTTTGAAGGATCACCTTGACACACACTGCCTGTCCCTCATGTGTGCTAAGATTGTGAGTAGGATTCCCTGGCTTGGCCACAGTCTTACAGTTCTTCCTTCTTTCTATCTGTGAGCAGTGGGCACATGCAGCCTTCAGGCAGATATGTGTGGCTGATGCAAAAGTGGTACTTGGAACCAGACCTGGAACCTCTACACTCTAGTCACGTGCTCACCACTGAGCCATAACTCAAGCCCTGAATTCGCATATTTTAAAACTGACCCTCAAAGCCAAGAGATGCTTGGAAATTGAAAAACACAGTGATGTGTTTTTTTTTTTTTAAATGACTTAGCTTACAGCCATTAACAAAAGTCTTTTGTATAAATTATTTTTTAAAAAAAGTTACAAGTGGCTCACAGTGGTAAACTTACCCTTGGGAGAAAACTGCTTAAGTAAAACACTTTAAAGGCTTAGAAAAAAGAGTAAATGATGTCTGTGCAAATGTTGCTTTGTTTTCAAATTTAGGTTCTGGATGATTCCCTTTGGTAGGGATGCTGGAGGCGTTGTCTTTTAAAGTGTTTGCTACTTGTCATTTTCTACAAATAAAGATCCACTCCAATGCTGTGCACGACTTCTGCTTTTATCTCTGGAGAAACATTTGGGATTGATAGAGGGATAAGCTGTGACTAGGGACTCTATGTTTCAAGTGGCAGAATAGCCAACCTCAAATAAGACAGGGGAAAAAATAGAGCTATGACCCTTGGCTGGGACCGCGGCAGGTTACTTGTGTGCTCCTTCCCTCCTTCATTCTTGTCTCTCTTGAATCCTTAGATCTGCTGCTGCCTGTCTGCCTTAGCCCCTCCTCCTAGCTCGCCATCATCCCCTCCAGCTGCCATCCTTTCCCTGAGCTAGGTACCCCTAGTTCTGCTCTACCATTCTTCATGAAGCTGGACCCTAAACCCTCCTGAAGACCACTCCACAGTCGGTCTCCTTCCCCCCTCCTTCTATCTTCCCTTCCAAACCATGATACCAATCTAGAACTGCTTGGTTCTGAACCCAGAACTCCAACTAGAACTTCATATCTGGGACTAGTGGCATAGCGAAGCCTAAAACCCAGAGTGACCCGAGACTGAAAACCAAGTGTGACAGCCTGTCAGTGTGGGGCAGGAGCAACTGGAGAACCAAACGCCCACCCAACAAAAGTAGGACTAGATTCTACACCAATACATATCACAAATGTCGTAATGCCAGGCACCTATTTCTCAGTGCAAAAACAAAAACACAATCAATCAAGACAGCACTCCTCCTCCAAAGGCCAGCAACTCTCTGTGATAGACCCTGAGAAAACTAATTTAGCTGAAGCACAAGACAATGATTTCAAAATAGCCATTTTGAATATGTTCAGGGACTTTAAAAGGATATGAGTAAATCCCAGAATGAAGACACCAACGTTGGATGAAATGAAAATAATTCAAGACAAGAAAGTAGAATGTAGCAGAGAAATAGTATCACTAAAGAAAAAACAAACTGAAAGAAAACTAAAAATGAAAAACTCAGAAGTAAGCGTCACCAACAGATTAAAATACATGGAAGAGAGAATTTCAGGTTTTGAAGATAAAGTAGGAGAAATAGGTCAGAGAAAATGTTAAATCTACAAACTTCCAAAAATGAAACAGCCAGGAAAATATGGGATACCATGAAAACACAACACATACAATAAAAAGTATAGAGAAATGAGAAGAAAACCAGGCTGAAGGTACATAAAATATTTTCAACAAAATCATAGAAAACAAACAACAAACCTAACTCTAAAGAGATATCAGCAAGGTGCAAGAAGCATACAGAACGCTAAATAGCCGAGGCCAGAAAAGAAAGTCATCATGGCACATAATAATCGAAACACTAAATGTGAAGAATAAAAAAAGGATATTAAAAGCTGCAAGAGAAAAAGACTAAGCCACATATGAAGGCAAGACTGTTAGAACAACACCAGACTTTACAATGGAGTCTCTGAACATCAAAAGGGCATGCATTGTTGTCTACAAGCTCTGAAAGACCACAGATATCAGCCAGGACTATTCTAGCCGGAAAAAGTACCACCACAACCAAGGGAGAAAAAAGAATTCATGATAAAAACAAATTTAAACAATTTTTGTTCATCAATCCAGTTCTACAGAAGTCACTAGAAGGAAAACCTCAGCATGAAAAGGTTAATCACACCCAAGAGGACACACGAATAAATAATCCCATAATAGTTAATCAAAAGAGGAAAAAATACTATCACAACAAAATAACTGGAATTAATAAACACTTCTCAATAATAACTATCAGTGTTAATGGTATCAATTCCCCAATAAAAAGACACAAACTAGTAGCCTGATTTAGAAAACAGGACCCTTCTTTCTGCATGTAAGAAACACATTTCACCATCAAGGACAAATATTACCTTAAGGTAGAAAGGGTATTCCAAAAAACAAAACAAAACAAGAAACAAAAAACTAATAAAATAGTCTTTAAGATCAAAACTAATCAGAAGAGATAGGGAAGGATTCCACATAATCCTTGAAGGAAAAACCCACCAAGGAGATATCACAATTTTAAACACTTATGTGCCAAACACAAGAGCACCCAAGTTCATAAAAGAAACATTAGTACATTTAAAATCACACATTGTCCCTAGCACAGTCACAGTGAAGTCAGTATCCTGCTTTTGTCAATGGGCAGGGTTTCCAGACAAAAACTAGACAGAGAAATGCTGCAGTTAAATAATATCACAAGTCAATTGACCTAATAGACATTTAAACAACATTTCGCCCAATTCTTTTTATTTGTTTGCTTTTTTTTTCAAGACAGGATTTCTCCATGTAGCCTTAGCTGTCCCAGACTTGCTTCGTAGACCAGGCTGGCCTCAAACTCACTATTTCATCCAAATGCAAAGAATCTATTTTATAGAGGCCTGCCCACCGCCATGTGGCCTGCCTGCAGGGGGAGCCACAACAGTGCGCAAGTCTGTGGTGGAGGGATGGGAAAGAGAATCGGAATGGTTTGAGCGTTATGAAGGGAGGCAGAACTAGAGATACCAGGAGAGTGAGTAGCCTGCCCTGCCACCGGAGGCCACGGTGAAGTCCTGGCCTGTGCCGCTGCTGCTGGGGGCTATGTGTGGGTCTAAGGCCATGCAACAGCAGCAGCAGCAACAGCAGCAACAGGGGTTCGCGTTGATGTTGTCTTACATTACCACCAAAGGCCATGCGATGTTCCTCATTTGGGCTGCAGCCCAGGACCGTGTTGATGTTTAAGGCCTGTGCACAGCTAGCCTCACTCCTCACTGGTTGCAGCACCCGGGAGAGAGAGTAGGCTCTGCACCTCTCCTAGGCAGCAATAGAGCCGACCCTGTTGGCAAGGGCGTGGACAAGCTGTCCGTGCTGAGAGAGGCAGAGCTCTGCC